ACATTTCTATTTTGAATTACTCACACGCTATTTTAAAAAATTTTGAATGTAGAATACTAGGTCAGTTTCAATGAAATGGATTTCAAGTTATTTAATTAATTGAAAATTAGACTGGACTACGTTGAATAAAATATTGAGAAGAATGTAATGTGTCAACAGTTGTGCAATTTCCTTAGTATAGTCTACCTAGCTAGCTAAGCCTTGATGCAAGTTAGTATCAAACGTACGGTGCACCATCGCACAACGAAATAAAGCCATAGCCTACAACGCCTAGCCGTACTTTGCAAAGGCGACTAGGCCTGCCTTTAGCTCGAAGAGCGAGATAGTTACTTAGATACAGTAGTTACAGTATCGCAATATTGGATATTTTACGGAGTACAAATTACGCTGTTGCTAGGCTACTGCTGCGCCGCGCCTACACGGGACAAATTGCACCTCTGAAAGAAGTAGAGTAGAGTACAGTACGTACATATAGATCATACAGTATAAAGGTATTGAACCGAACCTTTCTCAGGTCTAACAGTACAGCGGTACAGTTTCGTAATCCGTACCGTATCCAACGTACGCACAGTACATTGTACAGTACAATGAGTATACTGTACACTGTACATGCGTGAGCTGTGACATTTTGGATATTCTGGGCTGCCGTAGTTGAATGATCAAATGTGGAGTGTCCATTTTAGACTCTGTTGAGCTCTCTGAATTCGCTGCACAGCCAGCGAATTTCTCTTAGAAATCCCTGCTAAGGCTTGCAAGCAAGGCTGCAAACAATAATATGATATCTTGCAAGTACAGTAGTATGATGTTATGAGCTAGAAATATCCCTAATTTACAACAACGTTTGAGAGTGCGTTTTTTAATCTACACCATTGCCACTTGCAATACCAATCCGTTGCTATTGCTACGTAGATATAATCAAAGATCGAGTATGCTAAAATATTTCATCTGAGCTTCAAAATTGTACTTTCAACCTTAACATTCTTCGAGGTGATAGATACAATCAAGTTAAACCAGTTGGTAACTACTATTTTAGTTTATCTAATCCTACATTAAGGATTGCTATCACATCAACCGTTAACCACGAAAGCTACAGCTAAGGAGATCATCAATATTACTGGTATAGAGATGTCACGAAGATGACTTTTGTGACATGTAAGTCCTTGCTATGATAGTTGGCGATACCTGGATAACTTAATATTTGAAAGACCAACGATTTGACGGATAGTTCGATATTCAAGCCGATAGTTGACACCTTCTTAAAGGCCAAAACAATCAGTTGCCTTATATACGCATTTCATGGACTACTAGATACAGTATGGCGTATCTAGTAGACCATGCGCCTATACTGTAAATAATTATAAGAAATACACTACTACTATATTTTATGGGTATACAAACCTAATTTAAAGACAAGATGCGAACTGCAAACTTTGATAAAGTACATGATAGTCATCGTTCAGAAATAGAGGATGCAATCGCATTAGAATGAGCCAGATTCATTATTGTAACGGGGGTATTTACTGCTAGTAGACTTAATCTAGATAGATATGGGGCATGAGAGTATGAACAAGTACAGTCTATTCCTCTCTTTTGATTGAATATGTCCATTGCACAATTGCATACAGTACAGTACAGTATCGTATCGTTTACGAAGATGGAACTTACTCATAATAATTAGATTGATAAAAAGTAGGAATTATGGCGATTTACCGACGGTCAATAGCTACCACTAAGCCTGTCAAGAATTTTCAAATTATATGGTACTGTAGCTTTATCGTCAACAGTTAAGAATGTCATGTATTGTCAAATCTTGAAGGAAATCAACTGAGAGTATACAAATAAATAAATAAAATAATAACGTTATGCAAAACTAACACACTCCCCGCTACTACAGCAAGTGTTCTACTGATTACTACCGTACTGGACAACGGTTTTTATTGGCACGTTTTAAATGATAACAGTTATACCTATCAGTGAACGCCAGTTTTTGCATTTTGTTATATGTTGTAGGAACGCCATTGCACAGTTGCTGTTGTTGAATTATGAATGATATTAGTAGAATCCCTTAATCCTCTGCTGCATCTAACAAGTGATGATTAACAAGGCTGAAAACCGGCACTCTTAGCTCAGGGTCCTGTGGGGGGTGGAGGGGTCACACTTTGTGACCCGTCAATCTTTAGCAAGGCAGGCTCGTGTCATCTGTCGTCACGACAGTCGTAC